ACGAACAATTTATAGAAGGAGAGAGTAATCACAATTGATAGGATGAGAATCAATAAAAAATAGAACTTGAAGTTTTATGTTCCGTTTGGTATGATGAAAAAATGAAAGGATAAAAAGTTAGAAAGATGAAAAGTTTGAGAGATAAATAAAACATCAAATTTGGTAAAGAAGGAATATAGGAAATATAAAAAAGTGAATGGATTAACTTTTCTTTTAACTCACCAAAATCGGAAGAAAAGTGAATAAAAAGTTAATTATTTATGTTGAGATCTATTTTATTTGTCTATATATATGTAGATTAATTTCATATAAAAATAAAATAATAAAATATATATTAATATATATATTTTTAAAAAATTTTAAAAATTTAAATTTTAAATTAAAAAAATATATATTTTTTTCATCTTAAGTAGGGGTGAAAATTTTCGACTAAATACGATGACACGACTTGAACTTGATTAAAACTCGATACGAACTTGAAAATGACCTGACACACGAATAAGAAATATAAATGGCTCATATTCAGTTCAACCCGTTTATTTAAAAATAAATATTTTTTTTATTTTCTCGTTTGTATGGTAACACGAAATTAATACTAAACTAACATGTTTAATTAGTATTATAGACATAAAATGTTAATTATTTGTAACTATTTATTAAGTACTGACATAATTATTATATAAAAAAAATTATTTATTATTATTATTATATTTATTTAAGCTAATTTTTAGTTTATAGAAAAAATATGAATATAGATTCAAATAAGTAAAAATAGAATATTAGCGTTAATTATTTTATTCAAAGTTTATCAGGGTCAACACGAACACAACACGAAAAATAAACAGTGCAACTCGACACGATACAATTAATTAAATGAGTTGAGTTAGGTTTGACTAATGTTCGATACAAACCCGTAATGACTTAACACGAACCTAATACGGCACGACTCGATTGTCACCCCTAATCTTAGTCAACACACAAAAAAAAAATATTTAATCATTTTTATTTTTCATCTATCTTACCAAACACAAAGGAAAAAATATATATTATTCTTATTTTCTTCCTTTAAGGATATAAAATATATCCCTCTTCGTTTTTATCATTCCTATTTTTTATTTTTTTTTATATCAAACGGAGCACAAAAAGGAGAGGAGATAAACTTTATATAACTTGGAGATGCTTCATATGACACCCATTTGATAAGATAGAGTGCAAAGATAATGTCTGTATGAAATCCATTCTCTAAAGGTAGGTGGGTCATAGACTCATAGTCCCAAAGATTTGTTTGTTTTGCTATCTCTTTTGACAAAATTTAAAATTTTTGTCCTGCTCTGTTCAGTCCTCTTACATTGTATAAAACCCATTTTCAAAAGGTAGGTCACAGTCAGAAAGCTCTTTCCATACTTTTTGTCCTGCTCTGTTTAGTCCTCACCTCATACATTGCTAAAATACTGGGGGTTAACTCTCTAATGATTGTGAGTTCGGATTTGAGGAGACACTCCAAAGTTAGATTTGTAATCGGTTTTCATAAATTTATATGATTAATGATGCTTTTGTTCGAGGATGCAGGACAAGCGTGTGTGAGCCTGCACATGTCGTGCACGTGGTGGGACCCACACTGACATGATCATCTGACCGTCCATCTGTTTGATCATTTACACCACAACACACACCAGTGGAAGCCACGTGGGTTTAGATGACCTACCGTGTGGTTGAGATTGCTTCAACTGCAATTTAGTGAAAGTTACATTGGATTATTAACAAATAGTTAAAAGCCCTAAACCAAGTAATTTGGTCAAATTAGCACCAAACTTCTATTTGTCAATGGAATACTGCTCCATGTGCTGGCTTCTCTTGCCTCCTAATGTAAGGCACGTGCAGTACACGTGGTATATATATTTACAGCTTCTCTCTCTGGAGAGAGAGAGAGAGAGAGAGAGAGAGAGAGAGAGAGAGAGAGAATGAATAAATGTATTTTCATGATGAACACAGAGGGAACTATTATGGGTTTTACGATTTGTTATTTTATTGGTAAGGTATGTTGGAATCCTTAATTGTAAACAATTCTTTGACCCTTGACATTAATTCTATACTCTGCGACATTAATAGTAACCTTTGAAATTGTTATTTTTGCTTTACTTCATGTGCTTTAGTCGGCATAATGTTTTAATGAGGTATTTATTGGCGACTGATATAGGCGATACATGAGATTTATAACTCAGTGCCTTCAAGTATAGAAAATTACTAGTACTATTATAAAATATCAACAAAAGTGAAAAAAATTTGTTTGACTATAATAACTTTAATACAACTACTAATGTCTATACTATCCTTTTTTCATTTAATTTATATATATATATATATATATGTGTGTGTGTGTGTGTGTGTGTGTGTGTGTGTGTGTGTGTTTATTATTATATAAATCTTTAAATGTCTTAATTCTTCATATTCATACTTGAATAACAACTGTGTATATTTATTGACATAAAAAGTAAGTGCACCCAGGGGCGGCCCAAAGCCCTATGTGAGAATATGAAGGTGGGTTCTATTAATAGGCAACAATCTATACTACTATAAAATGTCAACAAAAGTGAAAAACTTTTGTTTAACTATAATAACCTTAATACAACTACTAATGTTTATACTACACTTTTGCATTTATATATATATATATATATATATATATGTGTGTGTGTGTGTGTGTGTGTGTATTATTATATAAATCTCTAAATGTCTTGATTTTTCATATTCATACTTGAATAATTGTTGTGTATATTTATTGACATAAAAAGTGGGTGCAACGGTTGGTTTGAGCTACAACTACGTATATTTATTAGCATAAAAAGTAGGTACACCGGTAGCAATGAAAAATGAAAGGTCTTTTTTGGCTACATTTATTCAAGTTTAATGCACTATGGACCAAATCTACTTGTTATATTTTTTGATTGTTTATGTTTATTTAATTGAGTGACATTCTATTTTCCCAAGTGCTCCGCTTGTCTCATGTTTTATTTCTTGTCCGTGCTAATAGTTTATGTTTTATTTAATCACTAAAGATAGTTAATATTTTGGGTTATAAGACTGTTTTATAATGTGTGACTTAATGGAGAAAGATGTTAACAAAGACAAGAAATCAAATGTCATTTGCCCCAAGTGCGCTTCTGATCAATTTCATCCAATATGAGTAGTTATATGCATTTGAATTTGTGTTTCTTCCTATCCATATAAGCCATATCATTTTTTGACACAGACAAACTTCCAACTAAACTAGAACTTCCACCCAATTAGAGTGACCTAATCAACCATACTTTTTTTACTTTGATTTTTTAATCATAGGATATATGATTCCAAAGTGTTTGAATTTGGAAACTTTAACATTTATACTAACGCAATTTTCTAATGAATTTAAGCTAGATATCAAGGGACAAGAAAATTCTATGCTGCTGTTATTAGTCTAAATAAATTTATGTTACACTTTTCTTAGCCCGAAAATTCTACCATGAGGCGAGAGATAGTGTTTATGTTACACCAACCAATAAATTTATGTTGGTTAGCTGTTGTATAGTGTTTATTTATGAATACAAACCTTGTGTTTGTTATATTAGCTTGTAAATCACAATTGGAAATAGTAGTTGTGCACCAATTATACTTGTCATTGCATTTACAAATCCTGAATTTTCTTATAACAATTTTGTTGAGAACTTTTCAACTTGTTATTTTTTACAATTTGTTCTCAATGTGGAGAGATGTATTCAAACCATTGATTAGGAATATTGTTTTACCCTTCCTGAATTGATGTTTAGATACTGAACAAAAGGAAGCCAAAAGACATAGATGTAGATATTAGATACTCAACTCTCACATTCTTATCTTGCTTCGATAGAGTCAAATATTAATATATCCATAACACAATTGTTCTATCAACTTATATGCGAAATTTATAGGATAACCCTGATTTGGTGTTTAGTTTAGATGACAAAAATCTACTTATGGTTGTTGTATGTTTAGATAGAATTAACATTTATATGTGATGATGGTTTTTGTTTGATAAATAAAAATTTGAAATATAAGACAATATTAATCTATTAATCTAAATTAACCATCTAGCATCTATAAACATATGAGATAAAATAAGTTACAATAAAGTTAGATGATTTAGGCGATCTCTCTAATCTTAAAATGTATAGTGAAAAGTGCACATTTTATTTGTCTTGTGATAATAACTTGTTGTGAAGTGAAACACGTCATTGGGTATTGTTCTCCACGTGAACAATTCAAGGTCCTAACAATAAAGATTAGTTTTGTTGATTGCAAATTATGATTAAAAAATGTGCCTATATGTTTTGGTCATATTCTCTTTGTTGGTTTATGGAGAAACAATGAATTATCTATCAAGATTTGAAAATACTATCTTAATCATGACAAAAGAGACAAGATATTTTCTCCTAAAACTTTTGATGAATACCTACAAGAACACAAAGAAAAAATTGAAAGTTTATATGATTAAATAACACTTAGATTGACAATTATTATATTCAAAACGATTCACATGCAACGCACATGTGCATCAACTAGTCATTAATAAGTGATGCAGCCACTATTAATGAACAGTAATGTTATGCTAACTAAATTTTGAAATTAAATTTAGAGTTTAAATAACATGGCAGCATATTATTTAAAGTCTTCGGGTCCAAATGACATGACACCAAATAAAGAAACCTAAATCAGTTGTCATGTCATTTGAGCTTCAAATTTAATCAGTGTAACATTACTGATTAATGAATAGGATAATATTATATATCTCAAATTTGTAACTCAAATTTATATCTCAAATGAAAAGGACTATTGAATAAGTATGTCCCATCAATTTTTTTAAATAAGACTCGTTGATCCAATAATCTCATCATTTGAGATACAAATTTAAGTTACGTGACATTCTTGACTGCACGAATGAATGAGAGTCCGCGCACCTTTTCTGCAACTGTGTGATTGTAAGAAATAGAGCTCGTTCATTCCCCATGGGCGCACACATTTACAAAAACCCCAGCAACTTCTCTCTCTCTCTCTCTCTCAACTATATATTTTTCCCCATGTGCAAACACATTTATAAAAACCCCGTCAACTTCTCTCTCTCTCTCTGAGGTTCATATTCCAATCCACTTTCGACCATGGAAGAGAGAGAAGATGAGAGTGTAACATGGGGTGTGTTGGGTCAAGAAATGAAGAGGTTAGTCTACATAGCTGGGCCTATGTTGGGTATGACTTTATCAGAGTATATGTTGCAAATTATATCGTTGATGATGGTTGGTCAATTGGGTGAACTTTATCTCTCTAGCACATCCATTGCCATCTCTCTTTGTGACGTCACTGGTCTCAGTCTTTTGGTTAGTATCGTCTTCTTTTTTCCCTTGCCTGATTCTTATTTTGGTTAGAGACTAAAGTAACTTGAATTGAAATTTTAAGGACTAATTTAACAAAATTTAATACAATAAGAACCAAACTTGCAAAAATGATATTAACCCTATTTAATATAGCAAAGTGATCCTCATCACCTAGTTGAAAGTGCAAGCATAAGGACAATGTGGGAGCCATATTACCTCATTTAAAGGAGTTTAGTTTTAGTATTTGAGATGGCAAAGCAAATTTTTTTAAAAAAATTAGGGGCCAAAGTGCATTTACCATTATACTAAATTTGGCTTGCTATGGGGATCATTCGCTGCACAGACGTTCCGTTATTTTTATAGGCAGACAAAAGTGCATGCACAAAAGATTATTCTGAAGGTGTAATTATTCGAATTATTGATTTATTCAGAGATTTGCAATTGTAAAGCATACCTTGCAGAATTACAACAAATTAGGTTTTAGTTCATTTAAGACTCTGGTGTGTATATCATTGTTTAATCATAAAAGAAAAACACACTATCAAGCAATCTTAAAACTATATCATACTCAAACTTCAATCGTATGAAAAAAAGTATACCAAAAGTTTGGTATGTTTATATCGGAGGCACTCATCTTAATTACTTGTGGACCTGTGGTAGTGGGCAGTTTCAAATATTTTTGTGGCATTTGTTTCGAAAGTGGCCAGCCAACATATATATACAAACACAAACACTTGCGTAGAGATGTTAAGACATAAAGTGGCTATTCGAGTAGGTGATTGAATGGAGTGGATTACTGAATTTTCCTCCTAACTTACTAGATTATGAACCACTCTAACAGGTAGGAATGGCTGGTGCACTGGAAACTCTTTGCGGGCAGGCTTGTGGAGCTCAGCAATACCAGAAAATTGGAACTCAGACATACACAGCTATTTTCTCTCTCATCATTGTTTGTATCCCCATATCAATCTTATGGATGTATATGGATGGAATACTCATTTTGATAGGCCAAGATCCTTTGATTTCACACGAAGCTGGAAAGTTCACAATGTGGCTTATTCCTGCTCTCTTCGCTTATGCAACTATCCAACCACTTATTCGATACTTTCAAATGCAAAGTATGGTCACTCCCATGTGCATAAGTTCATGTGCCACACTTTGTTTACACATACCTCTTTGTTGGGTACTAGTGTTTAAGTCTGGGTTAGCTAACGTTGGTGCAGCAATAGCAGTTGATATTTCAATGTGGTTGAATGTAATCATCCTTGGTTTATACATGAAGTACTCTTCCACCTGTGAAGAAACCCGTGTCCCAATTTCAATGGATGTTTTCCAAGGAATTGGAGAGTTCTTCCGCTTTGGCATTCCCTCTGTTGTTATGCTTTGGTAATCTCTATCCCTCCCTCTCTCTCTCTGTAGATTATTTGTGTGTATGAGTGAATTTTTTAACAGATTTGTAAGGAATTTTTGCTAAGTACTACCATTAGTATTTACTTGTTTTCACATGTTGATGATTACAGCCTTGAATGGTGGTCATATGAGATAATTACCTTGCTGTCAGGACTTTTGCCAAATCCACAGCTTGAGACTTCAGTACTGTCCGTATGGTATGTTCTGTCAGCATCTCAAATTCTCAACACCTCAGTTATCTTTAATCTTAATGATAACATAGCATTCTTTCTTTTGGTATTAAGATAATAATTGCAATTTCTTGTGCACTTTGCGAACAGCCTCAACACCATTACTCTACTCTATTGCATAGCATACGGACTTGGTTCTGCAGTAAGGTTTGCTCAAAATTCGATGTATTGCTTAGACGTGTGCACTACAGTAATTAGTCTGTGCTGTGTGCATACCATTTTGTATATTGTACTTGTGATGTCTTTGAAACGGTGTTTATTTTTCAGCACTAGAGTTTCGAATGAATTAGGTGCTGGAAATCCAAGGGGGGCTCGTGTAGCTGTGTTTGCGGTGATTCTCCTTGCTGTCATAGAAACATCAATAGTTAGTACAATGCTCTTTGCCAGCCGCCATGTTTTCGGCTACACATTCAGCAATGAGAAGGAAGTTGTGGATTATGTCACAGCCATGGCTCCTCTGCTTTGTCTGTCTGTTACAATGGATAGTTTACTCGGAGTCCTTTCAGGTTAGATTTATTGGTCCTATTACTCCAGTCAATGTTAAGAACATGAAATTGTATTTAATCATTCGACGTTCCTTTAATCTGGATCAGGAGTTGCTAGGGGATGTGGATGGCAGAGTATAGGGGCTTATATCAATCTTGCTGCATTTTACCTTTTCGGAATTCCTATTGCTGTGGCATTGGGTTTCTGGGCGCAGTTACGAGGAAAAGGCCTTTGGATTGGAATCCAAACTGGTGCTATGCTACAAACAATTCTGCTCTCTGTAATAACAAGTTGTACAAATTGGGAAAAGCAGGTCCATCCTCATCCTTTTTTTTTCCAACTAAACTTAGATATTTTTTTTTTTGGCTTTGTGCACTAGGATCTACCTCATGCTTTAACACATCCCCTGACTAAAGAAATATGACTATTGTTGTAATCGTGCAGCAATTATGATGAATAGTAAGGAATCAAACAATTAAGAAAGCAGGAGAAAATAACACACAGAGATTTACGTGGTTCGGCAATGTGCCTACATCCACGAGAGCGAGCGGCCGTTCTTTTCCATTATAGAATAGGGTTACATCTTAAGTATTTATATAACCCTAATATGAACGTATTTACAAAAATACCCCTGTACCGTACCGCGGGGGCGTTGCCCCCGCACCCCCAACTAATCAGCGTCCCCTTTATTTAAATCCCGCAAGGCAGATGCCGTCGCGGACTCCACTCCGGCATCTGCCTCCTTGCCATTATGCACACAGCAAATATGAGCCACACATACTCTAACAACTGATGACACAAACAGATGTACGATGATAGACAGAGATTCGCTAAATCCAAAAAAAGAAAATGAAGAGAAAATTTTGGAGTCCCCAATTGAACTTTAAGACTCGGAAACTTCCAATTTTTCTTTTTTCTCCCTTCCTGCTTTAGTTTTCTGTTTTTTCAGCAACAAAATGGAGAACTAACATAAGTTGATTGGGATTATTTTGATAATGTTCTTGTGTTGATTGGACTGAAAACCTAAAGTAATAATCAATCACAAGCCTTACATCTTAAGAGAATTACAAAAGTGTTTTGGTCATATTCAGCCATTCTGATGGTAATTTTACATATTGCAGGCAAGGCTGGCAAGAGAAAGGTTACTTGGGGAAACATCTTCAGCTTATAATGGATTAATGTGAATTGAGAAGAAGCCATACCCAATTAAGAAACATGTTTCATTCTTTTTTGCACAAAAATGTGTAAAATTGCATTTATATGTACGGGTGTTTACCCTAGTCTATGGGTAGAAAATATGGTATATCGTCTCTCTATTTGATACTTTGCAAAAAAAATATTTATTGGCCTACCTTACCCGATCAAATGTGGTATTCCTACTCGACTTCCGGCCAAATTATTCGGGTAGGAAATTGGGTTAACACTTTTGTAGTTATTAATTTTTAAATCATTTTAATAATTTAATTAAATAACATGTACTAATTTAACAAAACAATAAACCAATAACACTAAACTTAAAATAATTACAATAAAACACAAGAAAGCATAAACATCAATCTATCATAATTGTTGAACAAATATAATAACAATTATTTTAAATTTAAATCATATGGTTAGGGAATAAAGATTTTTAGTTTATATATATTAATGCGGGTAGCGTAGGGTAGAAATATGAAAATTAATGGTTATTTCTCATTCTTATCCGATTTAATCGAAAGACTAAAAATTCTTCTGTATTTTTATTCGATTTTTTTGGCTAGTTGTTTAATAAGGTCGTGTAGGGTAAAAAATTGCGGCTAATCGAAAATTTGAACACTCTTATTAACATGTTTAATTCTCATTCATTGTATTGAAATACATTCTGTCAATTTCAATCCAAATGTGATCTAAATTTGAATTCAATTATTGGACTTTGAGTATTTATTGGTTGATTATCTGAATCTACATTAGTCATGATTTAGGGTTAGATTAATCAATATCCGATATGGTTATAATTTGATTCAAATTTGCAAAAATAAAAATTAGTGAATATTTAATGAAATTGAGTTGAAATTTAGTAATTAAGACTAATTAAATTATTCAGTTTGGGTAAAATATTTGGATCGAATATCCAATTTTTTTCAAAATTATATGTGGACAGTGAAAATAAAATTCATAGATAAGCCAATTGAATTCAAATCAAAATTTTCAACTTCGATTCAAATTTGGCTCACTATAAATTTGATTCAAATGTGATGCATTGAAGGCTCATGCATCCCTAATTCAAGGGTTCAAAGTATCTTTTTTTTTATTATTATTCAACAGTCACGGATATTCGAACCAGTTTATTCACACCTTGACTAATCTCCCTATTAAATTCTTTTATTGGGAGCCGGTTGATGTGAAATTTTTGGTGTGCGTGTAGTTGTTGGATCAGTTACAGTTTTTCTGGAATAAGTTATAGCAAGTGAGGTCAAGTTACAATAAACTAACATAATCCTTTCTGATACCAACAGAGCAACACCAACTGTGGGATAATAAGAAATAGAACTCGTGGAGCTCGTGGGACGAGCCATATATGCATTGCCATCTTATAACTCCCCAACCATATATATTTTTCCCCCCCATTGTCAAACACATTTGTAAGAACCCCATCAACTTACAAAATCTCCCTCCCTCTCTCTCTCTCTCTCTCGCTCTCTGTGAGTGTGTGTGAGGTTCATACTTCAATCCACTTTTGACAATGGATAAGGGTTTATTACTAAAAGAAAGAGAAGAGAGAGAAGATGAGAGCCTAACATGGGGTGTGTTGGGTCAAGAAATGAAGAGGTTAATCTACATAGCTGGGCCAATGTTGGCTATGACTTTATCAGAGTATGTGTTGCAAATTATATCATTGATGATGGTTGGTCACCTGGGTGAACTTTATCTCTCTAGCACAGCCATCACCATCTCTCTTTGTGGTGTCACTGGTCTCAGTCTTTTGGTTAGTATCCTCCTCTTTTTCCCTTGCCTGACACTTCTTGATTTTGGTTCTAAGCTAACTTTTCACAAAATATTTTAGTTTTCTTTTATTTAAATATAAAATTTGGGGTATAACAGAACAGATTACTATCATTGGGCAACTTACATTTTGACCCATTCAACTATCGCATCGATCTCACTTTTCCATTTGTACTATTGAATTTCTTACGTTAAATTCTCAAATACATTAGTTGATTTAAAATTGTCTCGCTACTTGGATTGATTTAAAATGGTCCTAAATACAAACATCTATAATCTTTTGGATGTAAAATGCCCATGTATTCGGGAAAAATGAAACAAAACACATAGTTCCAGGAGAAAATGAGATTAACTTACCTTTGTATTTGTTATAGACGTTAATGAATGGAACAGAGTGATATTAATGACCTAGTTGAGGGTGCAAACATAATAGTTGGGAAGACAATGTGAGACAAGGATCATAATTTAGGGGTGAAAGTGTAAATTGCTCACAACCATTTAAACAAATTTACTATGCAATACAAGACTTTTAGTCCTTAAAGTGGCAAATTGAGAATTTTAAAATCTTTTAGGGATCAAAGTTAGTGTAAAAAGAGTATTATTACCTCATTTAAAGGAATTTATGATTCAATGGTAGGATGCAATGAGATAGTTTTAGTATTTGAGATGGTAAAAAAAAAAAGTATTTGAGATGGTAAAGAAAAAAATTTTAAAAAAAATTAGGGGCCAAAGTGCATTTACCATTATACTTATTTTGGCTTGCTAAGTGGATCATTGGCTACACAGAAGTTCCATTATTTTTGTAGGCAGACAAAAGTGCATGCACAAAAGATTATTCTAAATGAGTAATTCACTTATAATGTTCAAGCTTTATTCAAATAATGGTTCAAAATTGTACACTATTCATTCAGAGATTTGCTATTGTAAAGCATACCTTGCAGAATTACAGCAAATTAGGTTTTAGTTCATTTAAGACTGTGGTGTGTATGTCATTGTTTAATCATAAAAGAAAAACATACTACCAAGCAATCTTAAAACTATATCATACACAAACTTCAATCGTATGAAAAAAATGTGTACGGAGCTAATTTAGGCGATCGCCTTATGGAAATGTATATACCAAAAGTTAAGGTTGGTACACAATTCATCTGTCCGAACATCTTTGATTAATGGTCAGGACATAGTGAAAATATATTGCACTCTGGAATTGTATATAAGGCAATATGTGCAGCTGCCCCTGACTTGGCCAATCTGGAAAAGAAGAAAGCATTACTGTCCACTGCACATGGTAGAACCCTCTAGCAAGATTTCATTATTCCTAAATCAAAAATAAAATAAAATAAAATTTGGTATCTTTATTTTGCAGGCACTCATCTTAATTACTTAAGGTAGTGGGCAGTTTCAAAAATTTTTGTGGCTTTTTTTTCAGAAATGGCCAACCAACATATATACAAACACATACACAAGCGTAGAGAGGTTAAGAAATAAAGTAGCTGATTGATTGGAGTGGATTACTGAATTTTCCTCATAACTTACTAGATTATGAACCACTCTAACAGGCAGGAATGGCTGGTGCACTGGAAACTCTTTGCGGGCAGGCTTATGGAGCTCAGCAATACCAAAAAATTGGAACTCAGACTTACACAGCTATTTTCTCTCTCATCATTGTTTGTATCCCCCTATCAATCTTATGGATGTATATGGGTAGAATACTCATTTTGATAGGCCAAGATCCTTTGATTTCACATGAAGCTGGAAAGTTCACAATGTGGCTTATACCTGCTCTTTTTGCTTATGCAACTATCCAACCACTTATTCGATACTTTCAAATGCAAAGTATGGTCACCCCCATGCTCATAAGTTCATGTGCCACTCTTTGTTTACACATACCTCTTTGTTGGGTACTAGTGTTTAAGTCTGGATTAGGTAACGTTGGTGCAGCATTAGCTATTGATATTTCAATGTGGTTGAATGTGATCATCCTTGGTTCATACATGAAGTACTCTTCCAACTGTGAAAAAACCCGTGCCCCAATTTCTATGGATGTGTTCCAAGGAATTAGAGAGTTCTTCCGTTTTGCCATTCCCTCTGCTGTTATGCTTTGGTAATCTCTCTCTCTCTCTCTCTCTCTCTATATATATATATATATATAGAGAGAGAGAGAGAGAGAGAGAGATTATTTGTGTATGAGTAAATTTTTCAAAAGATTTGTAAGGAATTTTTGCTAAGTACCATTGTTATTTTCTTGTTTTCACATGTTGATGATTGCAGCGTGGAATGGTGGTCATTTGAGCTACTTATCTTGCTGTCAGGACTTTTGCCAAATCCACAGCTTGAGACTTCAGTACTGTCTGTATGGTATGTTCTGTCAGCATCACAAATTCTCAATGCCTCAGTTATCTTTAATCTTAATGATAAAATTGGATTCTTTATTTTGGTATTAAGATAATAATTGCAATTTCTTGTGCACTTTGTGAGCAGCCTCAACACCATGACTGTACTCTATTGCATAGCATACGGACTTGGTTCTGCAGTAAGGTTTGCTCAAAATTCAATGCATTATTTAGACATGTGCACTGCAGTAAGTAGTCTACTGTGTGCATACCAGTTTTTATATTGTATTTATAATGTCTTCGAAACGATATTTATTTTTCAGCACTAGAGTTTCGAATGAATTAGGAGCTGGGAATCCAAGGGGGGCTCGTGTAGCTGTGTTTGCGGTGGTTCTCCTTGCTGTCATAGAAACAGCAATAGTTAATACAATCCTCTTTGCCAGCCGCCATGTTTTTGGCTACACGTTCAGCAATGATAAGGAAGTTGTGGATTATGTCACAGCCATGGCTCCTCTGCTTTGTCTGTCTGTTACACTGGATAGTCTACTAGGAGTCCTTTCAGGTTAGATTTATTTGTTCTATTACTGCAGTCTATCTTAAGAAGACGAAATTTTATTTAATCATTCGATGTTTCTTTTATCTGGATCAGGAGTTGCTAGGGGATGTGGGTGGCAGGATATAGGAGCTTATATCAATCTTGCTGCATTTTACCTTTTCGGAATTCCTTTTGCTGTGGCATTGGGTTTCTGGGCGCAGTTGCGAGGAAAAGGCCTTTGGATTGGAATCCAAGCTGGTGCTATTCTACAAACAATTCTGCTCTCCGTAATAACAAGTTGTACAAATTGGGAAAAGCAGGTCTATCCTCATCTTTTTTTTTTTCAACTAAACTGAGATTGTTTTTTTCCTTTGGCTTTGCGCACGTGAATCTACCTCTCATCTAGGACCTATGATACTTGTTGCTTTAACATGTCCTCTTACTAAAGAAATACGACTGACAATAAAAACAAATGTGAGATGATTGACAGAGGTT